AGTCACGCAGGAGGACCACTGAAATATTCCAACTATTGAAGAAAGTATTAAACACAGTTAAGAAGTCCGTGCCTTCCATTTCGACTTGGTATGTAAACAATGAAGAGAACCAACAGCTGTGTTATCCTTTTTACAGGCCTTTTTCCTTGCCCATGTACAAGGAGAACACTTAAAAACAATTAAACCTAAAATTTAAACTTTGTCAAACAATGCACTGTCCAAAAAGAAAAAAACTTTTAATAAACTCACAAAGCGTAAAGGACTTTAAACTATTTCGACACTGACGCAACTCTGGAAACAAAAGCACATCACTTTTTCTGTTAGGAGTATTTAATATTGCTATGTAACCACTGCCCCTCATCACGCTGTTTTTACAGAGATTTCACTCTGAAATACTAATCCTTCAAAAAACACCTTGTTCCAATTACGTATGCCCTACTATTACATGTGTGATAGAGGAAAACAAACTGTACGATATTAAAATTAACTGTTAAAAACTGAAACTTCAGTCTCAAAAAAATGTTAAGAGACCATAATTATACTAACGTTTGGAACACCTTCCAAAAAGCAGAAAAAAGTCTTCTAAAGCCTCAGACTTAATTGAAAAAATAGGCACTGAAGTGGTAAAAACCATACTGGTTGCTGGTCAAGCTACAGTTTATTTTCCATCACCAGGGAGGCTACATATCCTGCTTGCCACTGAAACGTATGATTCTGATTAGCACAGTCACAGCTGAAACCATTTAAGATCTTCTTGTGAACATAAAATAAGTGCGCGGAGGAGGAGGGCATCTTCTGTTCTGTAACAGCGCTGCAGAAGATTACAAGCACTTCTGAAGATTACGCTCACTCAGGTGAACTGGATGTCTGCCTTGAAAGCTACAGCAGAGCACTTTCGTTCCTAAAGTAAGTGTAAAATGGCATGTGCCCGTTTGCTCATGACTGCTGCACGGGAAGAACGCTAGCATAAATCCATGCCAGACCAAAGCAGAAAGATCAAAAGGCAACAGAATTAAGAGCAAGCAACCCTGGCAGTTCCCATACCCACCACTTCTGCGCTGGCCCTCCCTCTCTCATCACTTACCTCCTCGTAATTCTTAGCCTCCACGCCATGCTTCATGTCTAAATTGACCAGCTGGTCTGGGACCCGCCCAGTTCCTGGAACCAGAATGAAAAGATTTATTGTGAAGGCACCAAGCATTCCGGGAAATGACCACCCCCACTAAATCTAACCCCCACTCCGTATCCCACCCACTCTCTCCCAATCCCAGCCTCCAGCTCCCACTCCTGCTCATCCACTCCCATCCCCCGACCCTGCCTTCCGCAGCCCCACTCGACACAGCCGGGCCTGATCCCAGGAGAACAGCACACTTGGAAAACACCCTTTCAGCAAACACCCTCTCTAAATCTCCGAAGAGCCGAATATGCGACAAAGCAGATACAATTGGAAATAATAAAAGGTCAGATTTGCAATAGTAAAACTCACATCATTTTATGTATGCAAGTAAAACCTGAGTAAGTCAGGACTGATCTGATGGATCGGAAGTCCTCTTCACATTTTTTTTAAACTTCACTATGCTCTTTAATTTGAATTTCAAAACAGGAAAACTACATCTGGACAGGCAGACAGGGAAGGAAATAAAAAAGACACGCACAATGTCTTGTTTAAAAGCAATTCCAGCTATCTCATTTCTGAGTTTTGCACCCAACAGCCACACTGCTACACTGACCCTTACATTTTTTCCAATTTCAAAATATTTATTTGCATAGATTTATTAATCTCTTGATTAACAATTGAGCAGCATGAACAACTTTCAGGGGCATCTTGGCCCCCCCCCCAAAAAAAAACTACAAAATGAAAAATGAGCCTGATCCACACGTACCCATGGGGAATTTACTCTCAAAACAAACTTCAAACATGTCGTAATCCTCTGTGGTGAAGGCAAACTTCCCTTTCGATGCATCTTCTTTCGAATACAAGATGTGGCCGGATGAGTCGGTGATCTGCACAGGAGAAAGGAAAGGGAACAGCACATTGTTCGTGCATTGACGATGACTGCGTTTTCAGAAGACCTCAACAGCACTGAAAGTACTTTCTAAAGCGGCGTTTCTGCTTATGCATCAGTTTTCTACTTGCATAGAAACACAGAAAGTTACGCCACAGAAGTCACAGGTTTCGATGCTGTAAACTGCTACACTGACCGTATTTCATCCTCTTCTCCCTCGAAGTCTGCAGCCATTTTAACTTGTTTACAAAACCGACAGAAGATTGCAGGTACTTGCTAACAAAATTTCTGAATGGATCATAAGGATACAGCTCATCGCCCCCTCTATCAATTGCTGTCTATTTCACTCCAGATCCCATGGCTGTGATCCTCCTAGACTTGAAGGATGACAGTTTCTGCAAACGAGCTGAGAAGATCAAGTCTGACTGGCAATCATGGATAGCAAGTAGTAGACGCGATTCGCAGCACGTGCAAATCAATTTGAATTTGAACCCATACCCGTACACAGAAGAAGCCAAGAGCAATCAGCCACACCTGTCAGCAAAATTCAAGGCTCACCCCTGTGTGAAGGATATGGCCATTTAACATGCAAGTACAGAAAAGCGATAGTGAATTATTTTAAAGAAAACCAAAAGGCAAGCACGCATGTTTGATTTCCTTACACGTGAGGTAAGAGCACGGTCATTTATCAACCAAACTTTAAATTCACATCCAGCAAACATAATAAGCAACAGAACAAGACCTGAATGGGGTTTTTGCACTTTAAAAAAAAAACACAGTTATTGTAGACTCCACCTTTTTGTTGCATTTTTTTTTAATCTAAAGAAGACGTGACCTGAGTGTTATATTGTTACAAATCCTTCAAACTCCTCATCCTAAAGCTCTAAGGCTCTGCATGGCGTGGCACCTCAGTACCTGTCTGAGCTACTATCGTCCTACTCCCCACCTTACAACCTTCACTCTTCTCAACACTAGGGGTGACAGGGCCTGTTCTGCCTCAAAGCTCTGGAACTCTCTGCCCAAGGATATCAGAGAGTCGCCTCCTCAACACCTTCAAATCCAGACCCAAAACCTTCTTCTTTAGAAGGGCTTTTATCTAACTGGTTCTGTTATATACCCCTTTGCTCCTACCATATTCAGTACCCATCTGTTGTTTCCTCTCATTCTATCGTTTCATTGTATACATCTTGAGTATTTTTTGTTGTAAATCTGTCAAGTGCTTTGAGAATCCACCTTTAAAGGCACTATATAAAACAAAGCTGATTTATTCCAACATATGCTAATAAAGAACAAACTAAATGTGTCAATCATACGTTTCTGCAACGTTGATTTCACTTTTCACAAATGAAACTACTTCAGACGGCAGAGACAACTGTCAATGTGAGGATTAAGTTAAAATATTTTAAAAAGTAAAACAAGAAAAGTGCAATCATCTTTCTATTTCTCTGCATCAAACAATATTCTTAACGCTTCTTGGGGGAGGATTTCTAACAATACCTTGAGGTGTATTCACATCGTTAAATTTAAGATAGTATTTTTAATGATACATGGCGCTATTCATTACATTCCTGCAAACGTTTTTTTTTTCCCCACAGTGCAAAACATACCAGTCGATGTTGTAGTAAACCTTTCAAACACAGAATTTTAAAATTATTTCATCCAAATGTTTATACAAGGTAACTAAAGTTAATGGCATTCTCATCGTGGGTGGACAGATTAACCGTAGGAGGGTGAACCATTAATTTCAACCAGAAGTGCTGTCCGTACGTGGAACTCGTTTTAAGTGACGTGTAACTATCTGAATGAAAGGAACTCGCGTACCGAGACCAGACGACCCAAACCCACACTGCAATTGCAAAATAAAATGTAACCATTTTCTTCCTTTTTTTTTTTGCATTTCACATCCTAAAACGTACAGTGCAATCGCGCTACTCAAGTTTAAAAAAAAATCGGGACTATCTATAATAAACGTACGAGGCCTTGTCAGCCAGCACGACAGCTTAACTTTCAGCATTTTTACGATTTGTTTTTTTTTTTTTCATTTTGTTGAACACACAAGATACTGTTGAACGCAGACTTCCCCCCCAGACCGTTGTAAAAGATCATTTAACTGCCCAGGACTCCTCCGTTAAGCCACAGAGATACTTATCCCCCCCACCCAGGCCTGCACACACATCCTCGGTCTTTCCTGCATCTGCATTCGCCCAACTGGGCTCACCTTCAGGTTGGTTTTGGTGTTGGGCTGCTCCGTCACCTCGTATTCACCGGTGACCAACACGTCTTTGTGTATCTCTTCCCGCAAGCATTTTCGAGAATTTACTGGTAAATAGAAAGAGATGGATAAAGCCGATCCAAAGAGGACCGGGAGAAACAGCAACGCCGAAACCCGAACCATGGCTACTGAGAGCCGGATACCAAACCGAAAGGGCGAGTTAATGCAGCGTAATGCTAAAACTTAATGGCTCAACTAACAGCAAAATGCACCAGCAACAGCGCCGACTTTGACTGGGAGGCGAAATGCATTTATTAACATAAATGTCTGGTATAACGTCTTAGTAGGATTGGTCGAACATTATTTAGACAGGGTGAAATGTCATCAGAGAATACGCGACAGTTTTACAAATTTCAGACACGATCTATTTCGGCCCAGTGTGGCAAATTCACTTATTATCATCTAGATATGCCTCGAAATCATCATCTGCCATCAGACGTTTGCAAAAATAATTAAAGATACCGTGACAGTTTTGCAATTTTATATTTTTGCAAATGTACAAATGATCGTGATTGTACAATCATGTACATTTTTTGCATGCGGAATACTTAGTGTTCGGTTGCAATTTGAGATGTGATTGTATATTCCTTATCACATTATATAATGTATCGTCATGTAAAATGTAAAATTGTGTCTTTGCTGTGTACTGGCCTTGAAGACACCTGTGCAGAATCGATTCCTTCTTTCTGTCTGAATTGCCTTGCAGATCATTTTTTTCTGATTGATGATGAATACTGTTTTTTTTTGTTTTTTTTTATTAATATTGATCTATGAAAACAGGTGGTTTGATTCCTAGTAACAGCAGAAGGGGTTTGTCATATTTCTAAGGTTTTTAAACAAGTGATCCAACACCCAGTCTATGTTTTGACCGGCAATAAGTGTAAAAAAAACTTCTTATTTAAATGAGAATTTTAAATCCTGTTTAATTAAGACAATTGTATTTTCAGAATTGGTATTTCAAAAAACTAGATTAATACATACTTTATTGATCCCGTGAGGGAAATGGCAGAAATGGCAAAACTGGCTTGTGAAACAGATGATCAAAAAGATTACAGAATCCAACCAATTCAGAGGGAGCTCTCTGGATTATAACATCTGGCCCTGTAAGTACTCTGTAAATAATAGCTGAAGATCTTATTATTTTCATTTTTAAAGGAAAGCACAGTGGTATTCTGCTGCTATTTTATGGATTACCCAGTTACATCAAGTCTGATTTGTCCTGTTGCCAGGGATACCTCCCTCCTGAGATGCTTAAGAAACAAACCGATATGAAATCCAAACACTTCCACAGATTAGTGTTGCTTAGTCCGTTGTTCCCCAGAGAAATCACTGCTCGAACCCTGCTTTGTGCTTTTCTCCATTGGTTCCGCAGTCACCCTGATTCTTGCAGACCATATTAACTAGTAAAATGACTTACTGCTCTCACCATACCAAAGCTCCCTTTTAATTGCGTATTAGAAAACATGGCCGAGGAATGACAGACTCTCCTGTTTTCTTGTTAACGGAAAAGGGTAACTGATCTGTTTCAGACACAGAGGATTATAAGACGCTGGCCACCTAATTGTTTTGTTAATGGAGTTTTTTTGAGACAAATCATGACAAGATACTGCACATGTGAAATACAGTGTATCCTCACTTACATCTGTTTCATTATAGTCAGCTTTTAGCGTTGAGAACAAAGATAGTGTCCTGAAAGGTGCACCTGCATTAATCACTATCTAACGTCAGGGAAGGAAATGGTCAATATCCCGAGCACTGAGTGTCTCTGTGTGGAGATCTGTTGCTTCTCTGTTCAGAGGTGAGGAGGAACCTGCAGAATATTTTAAAGTTTGGTAACGTTCCCAGGCATCCAAAAGAGAAGTTAATTCCACCTCCCACTCAAGCTCACCTGAAAGGCCAGGATTTTTTTTTCCCCCCGACTTTTAATTTGTTTTCTCCAGGCAGACGTTGTCTGCTTCCTCCCTCAGGGCTTGAGTGCAGACGCAGGTCTGCGTCACCGTTCTAATTTTACTGCTGTTGATGCTGATGTTAAAAGAAGCTACTGGCACCTGCTATTTCTGCGGCTCCATCTCTCTCTGGGGCTGGCAGGTGGTATAAATAGAAAGAGTAATTTTACGCTGCATGATTTCACAGTCGGGAGCCAGAGTGGATTGTAGCACCAGAGTTCGGTGTGAAAGAATGGAATTACTATGATCAAATCACACTGTGCACACACTTAAAAAAAAATAGAATGCAATTTGGTCAGTCTTTCAAGGCCAGCCCTGATGGATGGTAAAACAGTATGCTGGGCCTGTGCTTTTTCATCCTTCCTAACAGAGCAGAGGGATTTGAACAGATAATGGCTTCAAGTGCTATTAAATGTCCAGTTGCCAGTTAAGAGGATTAACTATGTTTTGGTTAAAAACATAACGCATTTTAATGCTTTTGTGTTTTCCAATACACTTAGTTTTGTTAATGTGGTCTGTTTCACGGTCTGTTGTTTTTGCAGTACAGTTGGCTTCCTCATCACTGTCAGAGATCTGTACTTTTTCAAAACTTTTTTCAGTCATGTATACATAAAGGTAGTGATTGTCCCATTTTTCATTACCGGGCTCAGTTTGGAGCAATCGGGATGAAATGAGTGAAATACATGTTAAATTATTACAGCATTTATTTTCTTCCTTGAATTGAATGTTTCTGCTCTTGCTACATGACTAGTGGAAGCTGGTAAATTGCTTCCTCTAGAATTTCAGACATGCAAAGATAAGAGATATTAGAGGACTTTAATTCATGGAAGACACACAGCCATCAAACAGAGGTATAGTATTTCTACAGTCATTGAAGGTCAGCAAGACCTCAGTAGTCAGGAAAACACTTCACAGGGTGTGTGTCTCATTACTTGATTGTTTGATTACAACAGAGCCAAGTTAGATATTGCAACGTTCTGGATAAGGTTTACCGCCTGTTTCTACACAACTATCTCGCACATGTTACGCATTTCCTGTGTCGGAGTTCTGCTTACTGATTGAGAAAATTCACTGTAAATAGAGTCCAAGGGAGCACGCTGAATCAAAACTGAATCCTTTAAATGCCGGAGTAGTCAAGAGATTTGTCCTGTTCTTGCAAAAGTCTTATTTATTGCCCCTTTCTAAGTAAGGCGTGCCTTGAACTATATCGAATTGTACTTCAGCACAGATTGATAAAACAGACAATGAAGTCATTATCCGGTGATGCAGCTAAAGAGGACACACTTTGTTGTTTATTGATACTAATCATGGAGTTCCCAAGTACTCCTGAGTATTATTAGAGACGTAGACTGAAATTCAGCGCTAAAAATGATGTTAATGTGAACTGTGCAGCTTACTACACAAAGATTAATATGTATGGGAGAGAACTTGAAAATAAGATACTATATATTTATAAATAAATAGCCTGTCTAAGACAGAAACATAAAAACATTATCCATGCACTCAGTTTTTCCTCCACGACAGCAAAGAAGAATTACATCATGAGCAAAGTCATAAATGCACTTTAGCTTTATCAGTAACAGATATAAATACCTGAAGAAACAGACAGATGGCACATGTACACAGCTTAGGAAACATTTGTTTAACGTAACATAGGTAGTGACATCATACTGACCAACTGAGTCAATCTCTGCTTCTTTTATCACACAAAGAGTGAATGTTGTCTTATGTGGCTTTCAACAAAACTCACAACCAGAACAACTGAAAGAATAAAAACAACAGCCTAATTCTTGTAGATTAAAATCTCCTTTTACAAAATATTGTCTCATATTGACAGGTTTATGACCCAAGAGTTGAGGTGTAATTGCATTCGTGTTATATTTTTATCAACTGGGAGGTAAGTCATGTTCTGCAATCAGCCACAGATGTCTGAGCCCAATACACTCTGTACAAGTAGGGCATGTCTAGTCTAGAACTAGCTGGAACCTGTACTGACAACTTGAGTGAGCTGTCTTCTGTGCATTAATTCACTTTGTTCCGGTGAAGCAATATAAGCAATATGCAAGAAGATTCTGTTTAAAATATGTTCTGTGCTACACCTGAATTTCACAAGCAAAATATTTAGTCATGCCTTTTCCACCCTGCGCCACTACTTCCCTGTTTCGAAAAACACAGCTGAAGAAAGAAGCTTCATGCACTACAGTGTGTTTTTAAGAAGTTGGAATTTAATTGAGGGAATGTCTGATCACTAGAAAAAGGGAAACATCCAGTTTCCATGAATATAGCTGTGTCTCAGCTCAGATGTACCATCCTGAATACTAGAGAAGAGTACTGAAAACATAAGAGCCTCACCCTACATTATAGTTTAGGTACAATAGCAATTGAAGCAGCTGCCTGGGCTCTTGTTTTTTATTCAAGGAGTTTTGAAATTCGTAAGACGACAAAAACAACAACAAAAAAAAACATATTAAAAAACCACACAAAAAACAAAAACAAAAAAATACAGCCAGACCATAAACAAAAATAAGGGTCTCACTCTGCAACCTAGCCTAAAAAATAAAACATGTATTTGACCTACAGCACCATTGAAAACTCACTGCTCTACAGGGCTGATCATTATGAACATCTTTAAGACAACTTTGAATTCTAGCTTTTGATTTGCATAAGCAATATTGTCATTTTAAAGCAATGCAGTTACATTTTAAATATTGCTACAGGAGCAATGTAAAGTAGGATCTGGATTCACTATAGTAAAGCATCATGATATTTGGGAGTATTAATCACAATAAAAACGAAAATACCATTCACTAACATTAAAGTAGTAATGCAAAGGAACAAGTAATAGGTTTATTCCATGCTGAAAAGAGAAGAGAGAAGACACAACGTTTCACCCTTGTGGCCTTCTTCAGGCGTAAGAAGCCTTCTTCAAAGCCAGAACATTGTGTCTTCTCTCTTCTCTTTTCAGCATGGAGTAAACCTATTACTTGTTTCTTTGCAGACTACGCACGCTGACGCAGCTGCCCACTTAAAGTAGTAATATCAGCCAAAGACGTATACCAGCCCATCATGTAATTGTTTTTTTAACTCCAGTACTACATGCATGGTAAAGGACAACACCCTTGCCAGTCAATGTTGATATTCAATGTGTGTTAATGTTCCAAACTGGTGAGTGCGAGTTCAAATTGTCGCAGAGGTACAGTACCAGCGTTACAAGTAGAGGCTTAGGAACTGAAATACAGCAG